GTGCCGCGCCGCCGGCCCTCCCCCCCCGCAGCAGCAGCAGCAGCAGCAGCAGCAGCGGGAGCCTGGCGCCGGCTCCAAGCGCCGTTTCGCCGCGCGCTCCCGCGCCGCTGCCGCCCCGCAGCAGCAGCAGCAGCAGCAGCAGCAGCAGCAGCAGCAGGCGGCTGTCGGTGTCTGCTGCTGCAGTGAACTTCGCGACGCAAGTGGCCACCAGCGAGGAAATCCGGCAGCTAATGCGGCAGTGGACTGGGATGATGGGGGAACTCTTCAGGGGTCCAGACACCCTAGAGTCCACGCTGCCTTATTACTGGAAGCTGCCAGAGTGTGTCTTGACAGTGGACTTTGCTGCTGCAGCAGACGCAGCAGCATTTGATGCAGCAAAGGTGCAGCTGGCTTATTCGGGGGAGTACAACGCGCTGCTGCTGCAGTTCGTGGAGGAAGCAGCAGAGTGGTTTCAAGTCCTCAAGAGGCCGACTCCCCGATCCCAGCTCCTGCACCTCCCGGTGGAGTGCACTGTGGGGCCCCACACTTCCTTTGCTGCTTACTGTGGGGCCCCACAGGGGCGCTGTTTGCTGCTGCGGCTGGACGTGCAGCTGCAGCGGATCGCAGCGCAGCAGCTGCAGCGGCTGCTGCCGCTGCCGCTGCGCAGCTTCCTGCTGCTGCTGCAGCAGCAGGGCTTTCTCTACTTCGACTTGTGGGACGTTTTGGAAAGCCCCACGACCCCCGGAAGACTCCTTTTTGACTACTTGCATTGCATTTTGCATGCAAGAGTTGCTGCCAAGAGTTTGGAAACTCTTTTTATCTTTTTTAATCCTCAAGATCATTCTTTAAGAATAGACGCGCAGCAAAAAGACAACTCCTGGTTCCGCAGAAAAGTCATTTTGCCCCTCGGCTGCGGCGGCAGCAGCAGCGCCGACTTCGCCGCTGCGGTGTACGTACACCCCGACGGCCACACCAAAGTCCTCGTCAAGGCGCAGCAGCGCAGCAGCACCGACCGCAACAAAGAGCAGCTCGGCAGCATTCAGCAAATCCCCAACTCCAAAGTTGTGAGGCCCTCCAAGGCCCTCAAGTTCGGAGAACACGACCCCAAGGACCTCTTTGCCCACGACGACTACATTCCCCTCGAAACCATGATCGTGGGGCACCCCTTTTAGCTGCTGCTGCAGCAGCAGCAGCAGCAGCAGCAGCAGCAGCAGCCGCAGCAGCAGCAGCGGCAGCAGCAGCAGCAGCGGCAGCAGCAGCATGCAGTTGTGCGCAAAGAGACCCCAAGGACCTCTTTGCTCGCGACGACTACATTCCCCTCGAAGCCATGATCGTCGGACATCCCTTTTAGCTGCTGCTGCTGCTGCTGCTGCTGCAGCTGCAGCAGCAGCAGCAGCAGCAGCGGCGGCGGCGGCGGGGCCCTGCAGCAGCGCGGGGAGGTGCGGGCTGCGGCTGCAGCGGAGCCCGAGGCAGCAGCCAGCTGCGGATGCGCACGCGCTGCGGAGGTGCTGCTGCAGCAAAGACGCAGCAGCAGCAGCAGCAGCAGCAGCAGCAGCAGCAGCAGCAAGGCTGCAGCGGTTCGAATGCATGCATGTGGCGAGGATGAAGACACACAGCCTTTACAGAAGACACTTGGGGAAGCGGAAGCAAAGAAATGCTCTTTTGGCCTTCCGGCAACTCCCCACTTTCAGCAAACAGCTGGGGTGTACGTACACCCCAGCTGCACGTACACCCCAGCTGTACGTACACCCCAGCTGTACGTACACCCCAGCTGTACGTACACCGCAGCGAACCTCAGCTGCCAAACTGCAACAGAGCTTTTCATTTTTTGCGTCTCCGCGCACTGCCAACAAGGCAAACCGCTTTCCCCCAGACAGTGTTGTTTTCCTAGGGTTTAGGGTTTAGGGTTTAGGGTTTAGGGTTTAGGGTTTAGGGTTTAAGATGCGAAGCGCGGAGCGTTTCGCGCTGCGGGTTTCGGAGCAGCAGCGGGGAAGGGAGGCAGTCGGTAGTTCTTGGCTGGAGGGGTTGGAGGGTAGGCTGCAGAGATAAGGGTTTAGGGTTTAGGGTTTAGGGTTTGGGGTTTAGGATCACTGACAGCCGCGGTGGGGGGTGGCGGCAGGGAGTTTTTTCTGGGCCTAAAATGTGAAAAAGCCTCTAGAATTGGTGGAGTTTATTTAGAGAATTGATTTGAGAATTTAAAAACTTGAAAATTAAAACGAAGGACGAAGTTGGAAGGTCCCAGAGCGCCGGTCACTCCCCTCCTCAGGTGTCTGAACAGCATCTCGGGCTTTTGTGCGATATTTAGTGGCGTTTTTTTGCAAATTTTGGAAATAAAATATTCATTTTGAATTCTTTTACAGCTTCTGAGTCGCAAAAAGCGAAAGAACGTTGAATTGGAGCAGTTGCTGCGCAGTGCGCGTGGCTCGCGGTTGAGTGTATGTACACCTCACCAGCCACCACCGACGCCGCTGCGCGGCGATCTCGCCATTAAATTTGATGTTCTGCTTTTTAAAAGGGAGCATTCCCTTTTAATTGAATAATAAAGCGGCAGCGGGTCTTTGGAACAGTTGAAATTGGACTGGAGGCCGCGCAGAAGAGCCCGTTCAAGAAATGCGGCCGGAACTTGCAAAAGACAGAATCTTCCGTTTCCTCTCGCCTTCCGGAGTTCCGAAGTAGTTTTTCCTTTTAAATTTCTTTTTTGTGGACTTTTCGCGAAACTTAATTGCAGTTTCACCCGCGGGGAGCCGCGGTTTCCGGCCCCGCCGCCGGCTCCCGACTCCGTTCAAAAATGGCGTTTTCCGCGCTTTCTTCTCCCTTTTTCGGGACTTTCATGACTCAGCCTCTTCTCGAAGAACTTCCTGCTGCTGCGGACTCCAAAGAATGCCATTTGGAGCCTTTTTTGCTTCCAAATGTCCGCCATTTGCTGCCGCTCTCCGCGCCGCCGCAGCTGGCCTTCGGCAGCCGCGCCCACGCAGTAGACCTCATCGCCTCCGCGCCCCGCCTCCTCCCCGAGCGCGCCTGCAGCAGCAGCAGCAGCAGCAGCAGCAGCAGCAGCAGCAGCGGCAGCGGCTGCTGCTGCTGCTGCTGGTGGCTCTGCCCCTGCGCTGCAGCAGCACAGGAAGAGCCTCTCTTTGACTTCCTGCCGCTGCTGCACGCAGCAACAAACGCCCTCGAGCCCCCAGAAAACGCCACCAACAGCAGCAGCAGCAGCAGCAGCAGCAGCAGCAGCAGCAGCAGCAGCAGCGTGCCTGCTGAGGTGCAGGCGCTGCTGCAGAATCGCATAATGCTTTTTAGTGCTGTGAACGAATTGAACAAAGTCCACCAGCAAGCCAAGACGTGTATGTACACCTCGTTTTTGCTGCTGCTGCTGCTGCCCCCCGTCGGCTGGCTTTTGCTGCTGCTGCTCTTCTTTGCTGCTGCTCCCCGGCGCCTAATAAATAATATTTTTATTTTCTTTTTGGCGCAAAAGTGCAACAAAATAAACCTCGCGCTGCACTCCTTTGGGCTTGCTTTGCTGCTGCTGGAAGCCTCTGTTGCTGCTGCTGCTCCTGCTGCTGCTGCTCCTGCTGCTGCTGCAGCAGCAACCCCTGCTGCTGCAGCACCCGCTGCAGCAGCAGCGACCCCTGCTGCTGCAGCAGCAGCTAGCCACGCAGCTGGAGACCTGGAAGCAGCAGCAAATGAAGGAAATAAAGTTTTGCTGCTTCGCATTTTTCTGCCGCTGCAGAGCCAATCAGCTGTACATACACCCGAATGAAGAGCTCTATTTTATTTGTTTTCCTCAAAAATGTTTTTTCATTTTTAATTTCATTTTTATTATTTCATTTAGCTCTTATTCCCCGCCGGAGAAGGGAAAATAGGACCAAAAGCTGCAGCAGCAGCTGCAGCAGCAGCAGCTGCAGCAGCCCTCGCCAAAGCAGACGAAGCGAATTAATTTATTTGCGTTTCCTCTCAACAAATATGATTAATTAGTTTTCATTGCTGAAGACTTCTGCAACTATTCTTATTCACTTCTTTGCTGCTGCTGCTGCTGCTGCTGCTGCTGCAGTATTTGCTGTTGCTGCTGCAGCAAACCGCAGCAGCTGCAAGTCAGCACTCCTCGAAAGAGCAGCAGCAAAGGCCCCAGTGCACCAGCAGCAGCAACAACAGCAGCAGCAACAACAGCAGCAGCAGCAACAACAGCAGCAGCAACAACAGCAGCAGCAACAACAGCAGCAGCAACAGCAGCAGCACTTGACGCAAAAAAGCGTTTGAGCCAAAGGAGGCCCAGTCCATTAACTGAAGCCTCTTTGCAGCTGCTGAAGAATAAAATAAATTAAATTTGGATTAAAATAAATAATTATTAATTAATTAATTTATTCATTTTGAATTAAAATAATTAATTATTTATTATTCAATTTGAATTAAAATAATTAATTATTTAATTAATTATTTAATTATTTATTTATATTTAATTTGCTGCCAACTATTTGCTGCTTGCAGCCTCCCCAACAGCAGCAGCAAGACCTGGCGCACCCAATTAATTAATTAATTGATAATTAATAATTGCAATTAATTTAATTTAATTTAATTAATTTAATTAATTTAATTTAATTAATTTAATTTAATTTAATTTATTAATTTAAACTCATTTAAAAGCCACTTCGCAAGACAGACGCGTTTCCGCCTGCTGCTGCTGTGGGGTGTGGGGTGTACGTACACCCCACCCGCAGCTCGCGCCAAATAACATTTCTTTCATTTATTTCAATAAATGAATTAAAAATAATAAATGAAAATTAAATAAATTAAATAAATAAATCCAATTTATTAAATCCAATCCATATTGCGATGGCGCTGCCGATCCGGGCTGCTGCTGCTTTCCTGCTGCTGCTGCTGCTGCTGCTGCTGCTGCTGCTGCTGCTGCTGCTGCTGCAGCAACTAGTAAGCCAGGGATGTCAGAAATCCCAAGACACATCCAAATCCAACAGCAAGAACAGTTAAAGGTCCTGCTGCTGCTCTTTCCTTTGGATCTTCGACAGCACCGC